TGCTTGGGGTGAGCTGCTGGACCAGGGGGTTGGATAAGATGATCTCCAGAGGTCCCTTCCAGCCCGACACTGGGATTCTGGGATTTCAGAAAAGGCCCCTTCACCCCACGCATGGGAGGATGGGTTGTGCCTAGTGAGCAGCTCAGCTGGGAAGCCAGAGCACCCCCCTGCAGAGGGCACTGACAGCAGCTCTGCTGAGGTGCCATCAGCACGGGAAGGTGCAGGTGGCTCTTCACACAAGCAGTTTCTCTCTCCCTGCTGCAGCACAGCTACAGCTGCTCCATGAGACACCAAGACCCTTCACACTAAAGACCTTCCCAACACCAACACCAGGCCCAACTCTGCATCGTTCTCCTGCAGAGCTCAAGAGCAGGTCGGCCAGACTAAAAACCAAACGTGCCCACCACCCCAGCAGCTCTGTGCTCCCGAGAGCGTTCGTCCAGGGAGGTGTTGCCAGTCCAGGGAGGGCTGTGGGCAGCAGCAGCAGAGCAGGAGAAGCAGAGGGGAGCGTGGCAGGGGTGGGTGCAGCCTCCCCGTGGCGCAGCGCAGGCCCCCAGCGCAGGGCTGCACACCAGGGTCTCTTTGGTATCAGCAGCTGAGTTTCACAGCAGAGAACAGGAGGAGAACAAAGCCACCAGCCCAGCAGGTGCCTTCACCCGTGGCTGTGCTCTGAGTGGGTTTCACCAGCCAGGCCCCTGCTGCTCTCTCCCTCTTCCAACAGTTCACGGTGTGACGTGGAACCTTCCACCTCCCAGCCTGCCTGCAGAGATCCTCTGCTGGAGGGGACCTGCCCAGGTGGAGGACGGGCTCCCAGGTGGGACAGGAAGGTCCTCGCCTCCCCCAAGGGGGTGTCCCAGGAGCAGGTATCCACAGATCCCACGGAGCTCTGCCCAGTCAGGCGGAGCCCAGGAGCTCCAGGAGGGCACCGACGGCGCCGAAGTAACCCTGAGGAGCAGAGAGCAGGGGCTCAAACACCAGCCAGGGAGGGGAACTGCAACAGCTTGTACAGGAGGGGGGAACAGGAACGAGAGGCAGGTAGGGAACGAAATGGACTCGCCCTAAAATCGCTGTGCTGGGGAGTGGAGCTGCACAGAGTCAGCTCTGCTGCCAGTGGGCTCAGAAGGAAGTTCTCAAGCATCATAAAACGGGCAGTAAAGTACTGTGGGATCAGCTGCTGGAGCAACACCCCCGTTGTGCCCCCGCCGGGACTGCACGGCACAGCCCCGGGAGCTGCCTGCCAGCAGCAGCCACAGGCCCACGCGCCTCCTCCCGAGGGCTTTTCACACAACCAGAACACACCCCTAGCACGTCACTTCACCTCGTGCTCCAGGAAAAGTGCCTTCAGCTGCCCCTTGGACCAGTAGTCCAGGGCGTAGGCCAGCAGCCGCATGGAGATGGTGTTGATGCGCAGGAAGTTGCCGACGAACACCACGCGGTTGATGTTCTGTGGGGAAAGGGGAAAAGGGGCAGGGGTTAAATCCCTCCCTGGGCTTCCAACGGGGCAAACCCTGAGGAAAGCACCAGCAAGGGCCAGGGGGGACCTGGCAGTGGTTTAAACCACTTAAAGGTGGTTTCCAACTCAACGATTCCATGAGTGAAGGGGCTGCTGGGGCATTGGGGAGGATCCGCAGGACGTGAGGAGCACCCAGAGCTCTGTCAGAAAGCAGAGCCACCAGCTCACGTCAGGACCACCTCCTCCTCAGACCCTTCCACACTACTGGAAACCCACAGATCCAGCTACAGCCCTTCTAGCTTGGGAATCTGAATAGAACTATTGATTTTGGGCCCTGAGATCCTTAGACTGGCTGGGAACCCTGAGCATCAAGTGCCACCTATTACCTTTCCTCCCAGCTCCAGCCTTTGACTCATCATTAAAAAGCTGAATGACTCTCTACTGTTAATCTGGAACAAAAGTTTTAAAAGAATTTAGAACCCCCTAACCAACACAATTCTGAAAGAAAAACCAACCAAGGAGTGATGTTTTGGCTTTAAATCAGACTTCCAGCCAAGCTTCTCAGTCCCAAAATAGTTCTTCTGAGCCAAGTCATGAACTCTGAATCTTCTCTGTTCTCCACCAAGAAGAGAAATTCCCAGTTCCTGCTCTCACTGAGGAACCAGGATCGAGTCCTGTCTGTGCCTTCACTCAGGGATCTTCCATCTCCACCTTCACTGACCTTCTCCCCAGCTTCTCAGCGTTTTGCCTCCTTTCAGCAGCAGCTGGAGGCAGTGAGTGAGCACCTGCCACGGCAGGAGGAGCCAGGAGGAAGCTTGGCCCTGGCTGCTCCTCCCCCAGGCCCAGGCTCAGAGTGGAGAGGACACCTCTGGTCTCTCATAGCCCTGTACAATGCTGCTTGACATGAATGCAACAAGGCAGCACTGTAAAGAAGCTGAAAGCACAGAGATACGGCGGCCGTGGAGGCGGTGGGGCCGGACCAGGGGGTGGGGAGCAGCTCCTAAAAACACCACAGGGAGGGTCCCACCTCTCCTCCTCCCTCAGACACCCCCAGAGCCACCCACCCACCGCTCCTCCAGCCACCAGAGAGGTGCTGTGGAACTCCTGACCACGCAGGGCACCTAAGGAGACCAGCGGCCAAACCCGACTCGTTCGCAGCACGACCTGGCCCAAGCTACACAAGGACGACGTGGGCTGAAGAACCCAACAGCAGGGGATTCACCCAAGAAGGGGAGGATGGAGCAGGTGTGGAGGGGTGCCTGCAGGGCGCTGCTGGGGGACAGGAGCCCCAGGGAGGTACCTCGTTGAGCGCGCACATGCGCGCGATGGAGCCGATGTTGTTGGTGATGGTGATCAGCGTGGCCTTGGCCAGGTCCTCCTTGCTCACAGCCTCCCGCTTCTCCTTGCTCATCATGTTCCCAAAGCTGGGGAGACAAGTTTGGGGGTTAAAGGTCCCTTTGCAGCAGAATTCCAGAAGAAAATCATAGAACCAGTCAGGTTGGAAAAGATCATCAAGTCCAACCATCAACCCAACACTGCCATGGCCACTAACCCATGGCCCCCAGTGCCATGTCCATGTGTTTCTTTGAACCCCTCCAGGGCTGGGGACTCCAGCACCCCCCTGGGCAGCCTGGGCCAATGTTCCTCATGTCCAACCTAAACCTCCCCTGGTGCAACTTGAAGCCATTTTCTCTTGTCTTATTTCTTGTTCCATGGGAGAAGAGACCAACCTCCACCTGGCTACCACCTCCTTTCAGGGACTTGTTGAGAGCCAGAAGGTCTCCCCTCAGCCTCCTCTTCTCCAGGCTGAACAATCCCAGTTCCCCAAATGGGAATTGCTAATTGAACCAAAGTGATTCATCTGGAATTCATTTACAACTGTAAGAAAGCACTTGACATTAGCAGAGGGACTGGCTGCTCTCCCGAGACACACACATCCAGTTCTCCACCCTTGTGGAATCTCCAGTGAAAACAAGAATCAGTCAAGTCATGTTTATCAGCACCTAAAGGGTGGGGGGCAAGAGGCTGGGGCCAGACTCTGCTCAGTGGTGCCCAGCCACAGGCCAAGGGGCAACGGGCACCAACTGGAACCCAGGAGGTGCCACCTGAGCAGGAGGAGAAACTTCTTTGGGGTGAGGGTGTTGGAGCCTGGAGCAGCTGCCCAGAGAGGCTGTGGAGTCTCCTGCTCTGGAGAGATCCCAAACCCTCCTGGCTGTGACCCTGGGCACCCTGCTGGGGGTGAGCTGCTGGAGCAGGGGGTGGGATGGGGTGATCTCCAGAGGTCCCTTCCAGCCCCACCCTGCTGGGATCCTGTGTTACCTGGATGCCACAGCCCAGCCTGGCAGCCCAAAGCGCTCGTAGTCTCCTCCGTAGATGTCCCGCACCAGCTTGTCCACTTTGGTACTGTCTCCATGGGACGCCATCTCTAGGGCTTCCTCAAAGGTGGAGCAGCCAGTAAGAAGGCAGCAGAGACCAAAAAAGGTTCCTCCTCCGAGGCTGCGAGGTAAAGCAAAATCAAAGTCACCCCCCTTGCTGCTGAAGAGCCAGGAGGAGCAGAGTGGCCCGTTCCCCTGAGAGCTGGGATTGCCCAGCGCTGCTCGGGCTGCCCCACTCCCTCAGCTTCTCTCTCTCCAGCAAGAGCAGTCGTGGAAGAGCAGCAGCTCCCTTCAGACCTCTTCCTCCCAGCTTGCAGCCCTGAAGGAACCCCACACCCTCACAGCCTTCTGCAGGGGGCATGTTTCTCCACGAGAAATTCATTTCCCCGTTTTACAACATCCACCTTCTTCCCAGCACTCAGAGAAGTGGATTTTAAAATAAAGACTCCTCCTGAGGGGTCACTGGAGCCTTGGAGCACAGCTGTCCAGAACTCTGGGGAGCAAAACCACGTCCTGTTCACTTTACCCTGTACACGTGCCAGTAATGATGTGTAAGAACAGCAAGATCTGTGCTGAGAGGGTTTTTTTTAACTATTACTGCTGACTTTAGAGAAATTCAGGAAAGCTTAAAAGCTGCTTTGGCTTTGCCACAAGAGCCTCATCTTCAAGAAGGGTGGATACAGCAGTCCAGCAACTGTCCAGGGAATTATGGCTGTGGCAGCATCCCTTCCTCCAAAACAGGGTGACTGCTGGGGGTCAGGCTGCAAAACTCTACGCGCTAACAGCTGCTCCCACGATCCTATTTGGGATTACCCCCCTGATGGCAAATAGAACAGCTGAGGAGCACCCACCTGGTGCCCGTCACCCGTTTGTAGTTGTCTTTGGAGTAGACGGCCAAGATGCTGACCCCTGAGCCAATGTTCACCAGCAGGAGGGGATAGGGGTTCTCCAGGTTGAAGGGGAGCTTCCTGCAGCGCTCGGCGTCCGTCGGGTTCTCGAAGTAGTAGCACTCCGAGTGCCCGTTGAACCCCACCGAGTCGATGTACAGAACCCCCTTGACAAGGCAGTCCAGCTCGTCCAGCTTGCACAGCTGCAGGTCACCCATCTGGTGGGAGGCAAACAGAAGGGAGAGGATTCAAGCAGTGCCTGGGGATCTGGAGTGTTTCAGACATCCTGAGAATCCCACCGGCTTCCAGTGGCCTGATTCATGCCCTGGCTCTGAGGGACCAGCGTGAAAAGCAAGAAGGGAGAAGGGGTTCAACTCTTTGACAAAAAAAAAATCCCTCTAAACCCACCCCCCCCAAAAAAATCCTGAAAATAAAACCAGGAAGTTATAAAGGTGCTGAGGGACATGGTTTGGTGGTGACCTGGCAGTGCTGGGTTAACAGTTGGACTCCATGATCTCAAAGGTCTCTTCAGCCATTCTACAGATTGCTCTCCCCTCATGTCACTGCCTCAGTTGCAACAAAAAGCCTCTTTCTTTGGTGTGTTTTTTTTTCAAACAAAGCACTTTCCCCACACGTTTTTCACCAACAAACAAGAACCAAACCTGTCATGGAGCCACACGATGATGTCAAATCCCAACCACCAACCTCCTTCCAGTTAATTTACCCCCAAATCTGACCAAACCTCCATCAGCTCACTCACATGCATGTTAAAAACGAAACCAGGCGAGCAAAGGAACAACAAAACAACTACTAAAGGAGTGAAAAACCAGCAATGAGGAAAAAGAAAAGCACAAGACTGAGATGGGGGATTAGTAACAAAGTCGTGCAGGAGCCCAGGCTGTGGGAGTTAGTGGTTTTAGAGCTGCAGGAACGTTCCATGCGCTCTGAGAAAAGAAAAGGCCCCGCTGGGGAGACGCAAACTGGACTCCAGGCACTGCTTCCCGAGCCAAGTTTGAGTTAGCTCTGAAAGCTCACACTCAGAGAGGTTTTAGAGCCTGCAGGGCAAGAGCTTTCTAGTTTTAAGCTTTCCAAACAAACTTCCACTACCAGATCCTACTCGTATAGAAGCCAAAAAAAATGCATACTGTGCGAAAGTCCTGCTCAAATTTGTACGCCCCGCCTCCGGTGGCACACAAGGTGGTGTGGAGGCTGGAGAAGTGCTTCTGGCTGCCCATGTGAATAAAAGCAGGCATGTCATGGGTAGGAAAGCGTATAAAGTGCAGATTGCCTTTGCGCCCACACAGGGTAAGGTCCCTGAGCTCCAGGTGCACGTCCCGGATGCCCGTGGAGCCGTAGGCTACGTTGGAGGTCAGGTATTTGCGGATGCTTTTGAGGTTTTCCACCTCCTCCTCCTCCTCTTCGGCGGTGATGTCCTTGGGCTCGAAGTACACGAGTTTCACCAGGGTGCCTCCGATGTCCAAGCCAAACCAGGGGAACACTAGAGAGGAGACAAAACCCCAGAGAAACGGGGCGTGATGCTGCCGCGCCGGCGGAGGGAGAAGCCGCCCCCAGCCCCCTGGTTTTAATCCCCAGCTGGGATTTTAATCCCCGGCTTGTTCTTCTATAAAGTTCTGGTCCGGAGCCAGAGCCCAGGATAATACCAGTGCTCTCACATCAAAGGGATGTACAAACGTTAACTAATTGCAACACGTAACTGAGGGCAGAGGAGTAATCTGAGATGCCCCAGGGAGACAAAAACAAATGTCTAATTGGATTATTTTATTAGTCCAATTCCCCCGTGGTACGAAATATGCATTAGCGTCAGGCCCAGCAACATTTACAGCTGCATTAGATAACAAGCTCCTTGGAGAAGATCAAGAGCAAACCCCCATCAGATGGAACCTGCGATTAGAGCCCAGAGCTGGAACAGATTAATATCACTATTAATGAGCTGAGGGATGGGTCAGAGCTAACGAGGTGCACGGGCGCAGGGAGACGACGCACCCACACGTTACAGCTTCAGGCAGCAGGAACAAACCTCCACGGGCTTCTTCCAAAGGGAAAAAGGTTTGGAAAAGAAGCCTGAGTGCAGCGTGCACGCTCCTAGCTCCCCTCTGGAGAGGAGGAGCTCGGCCTTGGGTAGAGTTTGTACGTGTCAGAGCCAGGGACAACAGGCCAGTGTTATTTCTGCTCCTCTGTGAGCGTGTGAGGCGAGGCAGCCCTCGCTCCTGGGAGCAGGAATCTCTCCAGCTAGACTCCAGGAAGCAGCAGCCACCCCCAGAACCCCCAGCTGCCTGAGGAAGAGGAGGGAGAGGAGGCAGAGCAGGCTGCTCATCCCCCAGACACCCCGAGGCAGCCCTGGGGAAAGCTCAACAGCACAGAAAGCAGCGCAGGAGGGGAACAGGCTCCCGTGAAAATGGTCTTCAAAAGGACCACAGACCCTCCAGGCAAGGGCTGGAGATGATGTCTGCTCTCCTGGAGGGCTGGCAGAGGTAAAACAGACCCTTTCAGAGCGTCCCAGCTCCCCAGGAGCTGCTCCAGCCACCACTTACAGAGCTATTTTTAAACCCCTCGGTTATTTTTACATATTTACTGAGGCCCCCTCCAATCACCACCAAAAGAGATCTTGAAAGAAGCAGCAAACTCTATTTCAGGAGGCTCATCCAAAGCCCAATCACTCTCTATTTCTAATGCATTCACTTCAAATAAGAACAGCCCTAAAAATAACTGTTCATGAATGAGAGAGAGAGGAATCTGAATCTGGGCCCAGGGGAGAGGGAAAGCTGGAGCAACTCAAGGACTTTTCCCATGCCAGTTCCCCATTCCACGCTCCCTAAATGAACCTCAGCACTGCAAACCCCACCAGCACTCCAGGGTGGGAAGCCCACCACGTGGAGAGAGGCTGAGCAGATGTGTCCCACCTCAAGACTCCCCAGGAAAACCCTCCTGAAGTGCTTCACAAAACCCTGAGGAGTGCTCCACTCCCAGGCACAAGGGTTGTTCTGCAGCTGGTTGTGAAGTTCACACACCAAAACTTCCAGATTTAAGGTCCTTTCCAACACAAGCCATTCTATGATTCTAATAGGGCACAAGAATCACAGACTTTGTCCATCACTTTAGGAAGTTCTGGTCACAAAAAACCCAGCAGTTCCTCAGAAACTTCAGCCCAGCTCATTCTCAGTGCTCACAGGACCTTCAGTTTTTTAATATCTATAAATTTAGTGTTTTCCTGGGGTGTTGTTAAAGCTGCTGCTGAACTGGCAGAAGACCAAGCGTGGGGTTAAGGCACTGCCTGGCACACCAGAAGACACAGCTCCTGGGGACATGGGGACACTGCCTGCAGAGCTGGGTGTCAGTGCCAGCCAGGCTGGGCTCAGGCCTCACCAGTCTTAGAATCACAGGACTATGTGGGTTGGAAAAGACCTTCAGGCTTTTTCAATGAGTCAAAGGCTGGAGCTGGGAGGAGAGGGAAGAGGTGGCACTTGATGCTCAGGGTTCCCAGCCAGTCTAAGGATCTCAGGGCCCAAAATCAATAGTTCTATTCAGATTCCCAAGCTAGAAGGGCTGTAGCTGGATCTGTGGATTTCAGCTCTGGGTGCTCCTCACGTCCTGCAGATCCTCCCCAATGCCCCAGCAGCCCCTTCACTCATGGAACTGTTTGGGTTGGAAACCACCTTTAAGCTGCTAGAGTCCAACCCTTCCCCCAGCACTGCCAGGTGCACTGCAAACCACGTCCCTCAGCACCACATCTCCACAGCTTTTCAGTCCATCCAGGGATGGGGACTCCACTGCTGCCCTGGGCAGCCTGGGACAGCCCTTTTGGGGAAGAAAAGGAGCACCCAAGGCCCTGAGCATGGCCCTGCAGAAGGCTCCTCACTGAGCAGCTGTCCCTCCATCTGCCAACAGCTCGGCTCTCCCGCCAGCAAGTCACCAGGGATCAATTCTTAAATACAGCCTATTAAGGTAATTAACTTAAACCAAATGAGTCTTAATTATGTATCTCTCATTATATACATCCCAGCCACAGGTTAAGAATCTGAGGAAGCAGCTCAAATTAACTCCTCCTGTACCATCCCATAAAGGGTTCTCCACACAGAGCACTCAAATCACCTGGGGGGGCAGGTGGGGGGCAAGAGCCTCCCCTAAAACCCTTTTGAGCCTCTGAAAGGTTTTCTCCACAAGACCTGCTGCAGCAGACAGCAGATCAAGAGTGGCAGCAGAGCTGGTGGCACCCAGGAGCCCCTGGGCAGCCCGGGGGCTGGTTTCTTCTCAGGCAGAAGGTTCTGCTGAAGTAACTGTAGAATGGTTTGGGTAGGAAGGGACCTTAAAGATCTAGTTCCAACCCTGTGCCATGGGCAGGGACACCTCCCACTAGGCAGGGTGCTCAGAGCCCCATCCAACCTGGCCTTCAACACCTCCAGGGATGGAGCATCCACAGCTTCCCTGGGCAAGAAGACACCAGCTCTAGCAGCCAAGGCCAATGATGCCAACGCTGCCCCTCTGCACCACCCTCCTTGCACGTCTCCCTTCCCAGTGCTGTGTGTTCCCACAGCACCAACTGCCACCACCCCACCACCACTTCACCTCCAAATCCCTTTGAGTTAGGCTGCAAGGCTTTTGGGGCCAGAAAAACAGAATGCCTTTATTTGTTATGTAAATGACTTCATAAAATTGGATGCTCTAGAAATAAAAAAACCTCCCCGGACGTGTTCTGGAAGCTGCAGCAGCAGCAAGATGGGAGAGGTGATATAATTAAAGATCTCCACGGTGGATTTTCTTCCTACAACAAGCAGCTCAAGCTGCATTTTGGACTGATCCTGAAGTGAGGAGCCAATTATACCAGAAGCTAAAAAGATTAGCCTGTGGAGGAGCAGCGCAGGCTGTGCCTGTGTTGGGCACATGACAACATCTCTCAGCTTATTCCAAAATATTCAGTGTATTTTCATGGAAATTATACAACTGGGGGAAAAACCCATATCCATCAGTATTTAGTGACACTAAGCCTCATATCCTCCCATCTCTCAATCCTGCTGGAAATTCACACTTCCTGCCCAGTCCCCAAAATATAAAAAGGTATTTAAAAGAAATCAACACTTGAATTCCATCCTGCAAAGGAGCTGCCAAAAGAGCCTCTTGTTTGTGCCTCTGCTTGGATGCAGAGGTACAACCCCCTCACCTCCCTCCAGCCTCCTGTCAGGAGCTGTGGAGCACAGTAAGGTCCCCCCTGAGCCTCCTCTCCTCCAGACTGAACACCCCCAGGGCCCTCAGCTGCTCCTCACAATCATGTTCCCCAGACCCCTCACCAGCTTCTCTGGACCCGCTCCAGCCCCTCAAGCTCCTTCTCATCCTGTGGTGCCCAAAACTGACCCCAGTGCTCAAGCTGTGGCCTCCCCAGTGCCCAGTCCAGGGGGACAATCCCTGCCCTGCTCCTGCTGGCCACACTGGTGCTGATCCAGGCCAGGATGCTGGTGGCCTTCTTGGCCCTGCTCCAGCCCGCTGAACGCATCACTGGCTCATACTCAGCCACCTGCCCACCAGCCCCCCCAGGTCCTTTTCTGCCAGGCAGTTTCCAGCCACTCTGTCCCAGCCTGGAGCATTGCAGGGAGCTGCTGTGACCCAGGTGCAGGACTCAGCACTTGGCCTTGTAGGTCTTTCACCTATTTCTCTTATCTTAAGGAAGATTCATTATAAGAAACCATTCCTCTGCTCATTAGGATCTTTAGGTCTATGCCTGGCACTTACCCCTCCCACTGCAAGCTGGCTGGTACCCCACAGGAACAGTAAATGTCATGGGGACATCCCCTGTACTCAGCAACTGGACTGGAAGTACCCTGGGTAAGTGCAGGTTTCAATCATGGCATTGATCATTCATGACCAGAAAAGAATTCTTCTTTACTGCCCCTGGAGCTGATAAAGCTTCTCCATTTCTGCCTGTACTAATCCCCCTGTCGAGCTCCCTTCACACCTCATCAACACAATACTCCAAAGCAGCTCAGAACTCTTACAGATCTCTGCTTCCCAGTGTTCCCAGGGCTCCTCCTCTCTCCCTTCCAAGGGAGACAGTGTCCTTGACTTCTCCTCCTCTCACCCGTGGCACGCCGAGAACCTCGGTGCCTGCCAGGGAGCTCTTCAGCTCCTGTGAAGTGCACCAAGAACCGTTTCACAGCACGGAGCTCAGACACCAGCTGCGAGTCACTTGGCTCCAGCCCAGCTCACTCCCTGGGGCTCAGCCCTGCCCTGCTCTCTGCAGAGGAACAGCCCTCGCTGCTGGGACGGACGGACGACAAGGCAGGAGGGAAGATCAGGAGCCCGAGCTGCAGCCTGCTGAAATCCTTTCATTCCTGAGGCAGCCAGGCTCCTCTGCCAGGGCATCTGCCAGCACAGGCAGCAAGACAAGCCTCAAGGTCACCGGGCGTGTTTGCCACGTACCAGCAGCAGACAAGTGGCAGCTCAAGTAGGACGTTTTTGGTCAGGAGCCCATTAAGCGGTTTGCCTCCA